CACCAACCCCTCCCCTAAGTACGCGGATGACGGGATCAGTCTGAAATGCCCCGAGATCGGGCGCTGGCCACAGGAGGCTGGGCAGGATGGGTGAGGGTTTGCTCGAAGCGGCCAGTCCCCACAGCTCGGACACGTGTGCCGTGACTGAGGTGGCAACAGCCAGCTCATGCACAGGGGGTGTCTCATGGAAAAGGTCACGCACCAGTTTAGGGTGAGGACATTAATAGATGCGACAGTCATTGGGGAAGCGTGTGGTGTGTTACGGGCACGTCCACACCTCACGCACCCACACCAGAGCCATCGTTGCAGCAGACACTCCCCTCCCCAAAGGACTCCCAAGCTGAAATCAGGGCTACGGCCGACCCAACACCACGACATCCTCTCACCTTGACCAGGTGGCTGACGCCACTTCATCTGCCTGCAGGGAAGCTGCGAGCTCCTCAGGATCCAGCCACCTGCCCACATATTTGCACCAGCATCCAGCACAGAAACAATCCTGACCTTGTCTGGTGCCACAGGAGCTCCTGCAAAAAGAGCTTTCCTGGCTGATGAGGCAGAGGAAATCTCCTGGCGTCCCCAGCACCCCCCTCCACACCCTCCCAAAACACCTGCTAATGCTTTCTGCCCTCCATCCTTGCCTGCCTTCTGGAAAGAGAATTCCTAACAGAGCCAAAGCTGTAGCGTGTAGGTTCCAAATTCCCTTGTTTTTTGGAAGCGGGGAGTTGTGACACCAGCTGGGCTTTGCCTCTCCCATTGGGACAGGGTTTGCTTTTTTGCAAAGAGAAGGTTCCGCGGCTGGGCGGCTGCTCACAGCTTGGTGCACTGTGCTCGCTAAGCTTCGCTCCCAGGTGATCTGGATCAGGATACACCAGGAAGTTTGCTTTCGGTTGCCTCCGTCGGCGCGTGGGTGTGCAAACAGTGACCGATTTCACTGCCGGTTCAACTCCTTTAAATGGGGACTTTCACATTCGTCAGGCCTGAAAAAACAACGCCATCTTTTAAACAAAAAAATCCATTTCCCTTTCCATCGGCTGCCGCCAAAGGTATTTCTGTTTGAATGAGCAGGCCCTTCCCGCCCGCTGCCACCTCGCTGCACCCAGCAGGATCGTGCTGGTGGGTTTGCAAAAGCGTGGCTGTTCCACCGGTGAGGATGCTCCAGCCACGGAGCTCTCTCTGCTCCTTCCGGAAAAATGCGAGGTTTTTTTGAAAGCTGAGCCCTCCTCACCAGGCTGGTTTTGCTTTCTTCCTAAAGCGTGTTGCCTGATTGAGCAAAAGAAGGGCTGATGGAGGTCCCAGGGCTGCGCACGCCGCAGTGCCCCTCCGAGCACAGGGCCATTCCCTTTGCCCGGCACACAGATGGGGAAAGTCAGGCAGATGGAGATTCCCGGGATCACACAGGGAGTCTGGAGGGAGGGCTATGAATCACACTTAAATCGCCTGCAAGACAGCCCCACGCTTCGGCCCTGATGGCTCCTTACCAGCTCCTGCTGCCGCGGCGCGGGGCTGGCTCGGATCCGGCCCGGGAGCCCTCTCCGGAGTCTTCAAAGGCATCGGGATGACCCTGGAGCCCAAGCCATGTGTGCACACTTGTGTGTGAGTGTGTGTGTGTGTGTGTGTTTCGGGCAGGGAAGGAGGTGGCAGAACTCCCCTCCCTGCCGCCTCCACTCCCCGTCGTGCACTTCTGGGCAAAATCCATTTGCTTTGGCTTCATGTAGGGCCAGAAGATTCGGTCCATTGTGCTGCGACGCTGAAGAGCCGGCAAGGAATTGTCAACCATGCTGAAACGGTTACATGGGGAGTAATGAAAATTTACTGCACCCTGCTTCAGTCCCTAGCCAAGAAATAAAAGCAAAAGATCACAACAGGCATTTTTTTAATTTGAAGCAAAATTAAAAAAAGAACGGATCCGCACTTAGAAAATAACAACCACATCCACAGATCAAAGCAGCTGTTCTCCGCTCGTTCGGGGTTTTGAGAGGTTTCTGCAGCTACAGGGATGTTTACACAGGGAGAGAGATACATACATTGTGCTGTCTTGGTGCTGCCTCTCCCCCCTTCATCTGGCAGAGCATTCCCTGGGAGGCGATATGAGGTCATCCCTAGACCCTGCGTTGTTTTCCTCAAGCTGCAAGGCTGCGGGGCAAGAGGCAATTCATTTCCCATTAGCACACACACATTTGCACTTGGAACCCTCCCGTGTACATTTTGCCGGGGGAGCTCGGGACGGGCAGGGGACGAGTCCTCACCAGCTTGTTATTGTGTTCCCAGAGGGAATTCCAGCAGCTGGGCTGCCGGGAGGGTCAGCAGAGCCACTGGGAAGGGACATGGAGCTGGGAGGTGGGCTGGCATCTTCTGCAGACCAGCATCTTCTGCAGACCAGCCGTAATGTTTCTGTGGCTTCCACCACTTTTATTAAGAGAGGGGCTGAGCAGCTCTGGGGAGCACTAATGGGCTGTAAAAAGCTTTTTCCCCTCTGCCTCCTTGGCTCGAGCCCAATTCAGAGCGGCAGTGAGCCCCGCTCCGGTGCTCGCACAGGGACGGGCAGCGCGGGAACGCGCCGGGGAAGACTCTCCCCTCACCTCTCAGCATCAGCATGTTGGTCCGTCTGCTCCATGGGCAGCACCCGCTTCGGCAAAGCGGGCAAATTCCTGCTTGTGAGCCACCCTGAACTGTCTGTGCAAATGAAAAAAGAACTTTGAAACTAGACCTCTCCATCCCTAGCGTGACTTTAATGCCATGCACTACGAACAAGCTGCATCTTCAGCTCTGACTGTGCATATTTGTGTGATGCTGGAGCCAAAAGGGGGTTCTGAGGCTGCACAAGAAGCTGCTGAGACAGAACAGGCAGAAGCAAAACTCCCATAAAGGACCTTAGGGCTTGCAGAAGCAGCTATTGAATCAGGCAGGGATGCTGGCGGGAGAAGAGGCCACAGAGCTGTGAATCAGGAGATTCCTCCTCCCTGCCAGTCCACGAGGACCAGAGGCACAACATGGCCAGTCCAGGGCAGGACCCGATCTCTTTGCTGCATCCAGAGCTCCCAGCAGTTGGGGTGATCGATGCTGGTACCGTACCCCGACACTGCACCAGTCAGAGCTGGCTCAGGAAATCAGCAGCCAAGATATTTCGATGCCTGAGTGAGGGGTGTGGGCTACAACTGAGAACAGAATAGACTATTTTTAAAAACAGAGAGGAAAACACTGTATTCCCAGTAATACACAAACGGTCCAAGCCTGAGCGACTCAGCCAGTCCTCATCACCAGCTCCCAGCTCCATCCCTCGTTTCCCCAAAGTACAATTTTATCAAGATGCCTCCAAGGTGGGTAAAAAAGCACCGAGCCCCACTGAATGACTGCCTGTCACCCTGTGACACCTTTTTTCCAGAGTCACGAAGCTTCCCAAAACGCTGCGTGCGGAGAAGGTCCTTGTTTGTAATTCCCAGTTTGCAGCAGGAGAAGGTGACACACGCTGAGGTGAGGTGACTTACCCCGCGTCACCGGGAAGGTCAATGGCAGCGCCAGGAATAGCCCCGTTCCCAGCTAACCACTAACCACACTTATCCCAGAATAAGGGTCCCTTTTTCCAGCTGAATTTATAACAGCTTTCCAAGTGACATAAGCTCTTACAGAAATAGGCAGGCTTTTATTCCAGAATAATTACTGGGAAATCGTACTGGAGCGGGTATAATTACACCGGTGTTGTTGCTGCTGGTGAGTCGGACCCTGTGCCGCCGTCAGACTTGCTGCACGCTCCGTACGGCTTTTATCTTGCCCTGCTTTTCCACGAGCATGTGTACGTCAGCTGGCAGAGCGTCAGGGTCTGGGTGGAGAAGGAAGGGGCTTTGGGTAGAAAGGAAAGTGATACATCACTCTTTAAAGCTCTGCTAACCATATTTCCCATAGAAGATCCACTGATAATAATAAGTTGTAACAGCTACTGAATTCAAAATGAGTCTTTTGGGGTGCACTGGATCACACCCCAGGCAGATTCAGCAACGCTCCGTGCCTCTGCTTCAAGTTCATCCCAGGCATAGCTTTGGAGCAGGTGTTTTATTTTAAACGCGTTTTATGTCCCACACAGGTAAAATCAAACTCAGAGTTCAGGCTGAGGCCTGAAATGCATTTCTGACGTAAGCTGCTGGAACACATCATACTTAATACCCTTCGAAAATAAACTCAGAGCATTTATCAGGTGTTGATATGTCTATATATTCGTCGAGAGCGTGATCTGCCAAGAACAGGGCTGCCTGCTCTGCCTGCCGTGGGTCCCGGGGCCAGCACGCTGCGAGAAGGCAAGGGTTAACTCAGCACCAGTGACACCACTTTAACTCCAGGACCCAGACGCGTGTGTTTAAAAGTAGCACTTCTCTCCTTAAAATAGTTTATGAATCTTACTTGGGGATAAATCCAACACCCCCGAGCAGAAGGAGACCTATTAATTCCTGAGTTTTTTCACACTGTAGTAAAGCAGCGATTTTATTTGCCCGCCTTGCGTAAGATGTCAGTCATTTTCCCACTTGCATTTCCATCTACAATTTAACAAGGCAGCAGTTTATTTCCAGAAGCCCCAGCCAGACCCCAGCCAACTGCGTCAATATTTTGTTGCTTACACAAATGCCACCGTTAGAGTCAACACTGCGTTTTGGGGGAGGCTTTTTTCTCTTTTTTTTTTTTTTTTTTTTTAAAAAAAAAAAAAGGGTTCCTCCGGGATGATGTATGTATAGCTCTTAAAATACTAAAGGTAACATAAGCCTTTCAGAGCGGCTTACCTGGGTGCAGAGGCATTGCTTTAAAGCATGAAGCACACTACTCCAGGGCACTGACCTGACCAAAGGCATTTGCTAATTAATTCATTCTTCCAAGAGACTTAACTGCCTCTTGCCTTCGGAAACCAAGGCAAACCCGAGCCAAATCCAAAGCCTGTCGGAAAACACGGAGAGACCCTTATTGACTGCAGAAAGTCTCAGTGCCGGGAGCCGGCTCCTGCTCGGCCGGTGCCAGCCACAGGGAGCTGACGGCGGGCAGCCGTCCAATTCAAGCCGGCTGCTTCGCTCTCCCGCACGGTTCCTCGGTGCCGCTTTAGGGGTAGAGGAGGGACACAGATCCTGGCCGAGGCAGGGGGTCCCCAACTTCCTCAGCCCCCTCCTACGAGTCCCTCCTCTGCTGCAGCAGCAGCAGGGCACAGGCTTACCCTGGCTGTTGGCTTGTTTGATGGGTGCTCCTGCAGTCCGCGCCATCCCGTTGCCTTTGGCACGTTCTCCTGAAAGCCCTCAGAGGTTTTCTGCTCCGGTGGTGAGCTCAGCACATCAGGTTCATCCCTCTGCCCCAGCCTCCCGAGCACAGTTCCCGCAACACGGGGCTCTCGAGATCCCCCACAAGCGCCTCGCTGCATCCTCACCCAGCGACACCCCCAAAAGCCGCGCGTTTTAACCCCGCACACAGCTGAAAGGTCTGACAAAATCCCAAGCCTAGCGCAAGCAGAGCAACAAGGGGAACCCAAAGAACAAGGTTCCCCCAGCACCACCAGCCAGGAAAGCCCTGCAGGATCTCCTCCGTGATCCTGCACCAGTTTCGCACGAGAACAGAGCGGCCTTAGTGTGTCAACAAGCCCTCAACACCCGAGGGCAGCTGGAAGTGAGATGCCATTATTATTTTTTTTAATTTAAAACGAACTTCTTAACCTACAGGAAAGTAAACGTTCTTCTAGGATGGCCAAGAAAACCACGCTGGGATTTTCCAAATGGGTATGACTGACTGTTTATGAGCAGAGGCTTCCAAACGCAGAAATAAATGGCATGCTCTCAGCAGGTTTTCCTTTCTATATTTACCCTCACCTGAAATGAACATTATTGCACACTGCAACATTTATTCCCTCTGATCAGGGGAGCGGGCGAAGAAGCTAACCAGCCGCAACACGTCAAATAAATTGTTAATCTGCTGTTTGCGCTGGGGCAGGGGGAGGAGGGAGTCCCCTGGTTTTTGGGCAGCGCCCAGGTCCCGCTTACAACTTCCATTTCAGCTCGGCAGGAGCGCTTCGCTTTCCTGCTGCCGCTTGTGGCTGCCGAGAGCTGGAGCTGGGTTCTTCGTGGAGCTGATCTCTCCGTCCCTGACGGGTCTCTGGCTCCCGAGCATCCTTGAGCACGGGCAGCTGGTTTAAAAGGGTCTCTCCCCACTGCATGGGAGGAACCGAGCTCCAAGGTGCGGAGACCTGCCTGAGGCTACACAAAAAGCCTTTTGCAAGGCAAAGAAGGTGCACCCAGATCCCAGGCGAATGCACAAGCATGAGACAACACTCTCCAAAGCGTTGGGCTTTGCAATCCTCTTCCATGAGTCCCAGTTTCCACACTGAGTGTTTCTCCGCCTCTTCTCAAGGTGGGAAGTCCCTAGGGACATGTAAAATGGCCATAAAAGACCTAAAAAACCCTTCCTGACAAGGGGCCAGGAGGGCTGAGCCACGGCAAACTGAATCTTAACATGAGGCTGGCCACTCAGCTGTAAAATCTTTCCTAATCCCAGCCCTGGGGAAAGGAGAGGACGGGGAGATCACCTGCTTCTCCAGGACGTCGCCCACATCACATGGCTCCCTGGGTCACGCTCGCGCCCACCACCACCTTCAAATCTGGGTTTGACCTCCAATTTACCTTGAAGTTCACTAACTAATCGTGCCAACCGCTTTGGCATGCCAGATGAAAAAGGGGTTCACATTGCCCCGGAGAGAACGGGAGGATTAATCCTTCACCAGCAGCGAGGGAAGCTGATCAGTCATTAGGGTACACGGGTGCTGAGGACGACCCTCGAGAGACCCCTTGGATTTGGGCAGTAGGATTAAAAGCAGCCTTGCTCTGTTCACAGGGCTCACACGTACTCGACAGGACCTGTCTTTTTTTTTTTTCTTTCCCAACTCAAACTTTTCACTTTTGGAAAAGTCTGTCCTTGTCAGAATAGCTGAGCAAACCCTTCCCCAGCCAGCTGTTCCAAGAGCATTTGTGTTAATCCAGATTAACGAACATAAAGCAATTTAGATAAACTGCATTAAGCCAAAAACACCTTTGAACTTTTTTTTTTTTTTTTTTTGGATCCCTCCCTGAGCACGCTGTGTGTGGTTTGGGCCTCCCTGTACCGCAGCTTCGCCAGAGCTGAGCTCTCCACCAAGCAATAATTAAGTCAAGTCAGCAAATATGAAGATTACCCTGAGCCAGCGGCACCGGCAGTGAACCGGCGCTTTGCACATGGAGCCTAAAACCAATTCTGGGTCTGGGGGTGTCCAATGGGGTGAGATGCCACGAGGAGCCTCTCCCCAGCTCTGTGGACATCTCCTGGCCACAGCACCTGGGCTCTGGCCAGGCTGCCTACGTGACCACGAGCCAAACCCCTGCAAGCCTCCGTTTACCCAGCACCAACCCCTCCCCTAAGTACGCGGATGACGGGATCAGTCTGAAATGCCCCGAGATCGGGCGCTGGCCACAGGAGGCTGGGCAGGATGGGTGAGGGTTTGCTCGAAGCGGCCAGTCCTCACAGCTCGGACACGTGTGCCGTGACTGAGGTGGCAACAGCCAGCTCATGCACAGGGGGTGTCTCATGGAAAAGGTCACGCACCAGTTTAGGGTGAGGACATTAATAGATGCGACAGTCATTGGGGAAGCGTGTGGTGTGTTACGGGCACGTCCACACCTCACGCACCCACACCAGAGCCATCGTTGCAGCAGACACTCCCCTCCCCAAAGGACTCCCAAGCTGAAATCAGGGCTACGGCCGACCCAACACCACGACATCCTCTCACCTTGACCAGGTGGCTGACGCCACTTCATCTGCCTGCAGGGAAGCTGCGAGCTCCTCAGGATCCAGCCACCTGCCCACATATTTGCACCAGCATCCAGCACAGAAACAATCCTGACCTTGTCTGGTGCCACAGGAGCTCCTGCAAAAAGAGCTTTCCTGGCTGATGAGGCAGAGGAAATCTCCTGGCGTCCCCAGCACCCCCCTCCACACCCTCCCAAAACACCTGCTAATGCTTTCTGCCCTCCATCCTTGCCTGCCTTCTGGAAAGAGAATTCCTAACAGAGCCAAAGCTGTAGCGTGTAGGTTCCAAATTCCCTTGTTTTTTGGAAGCGGGGAGTTGTGACACCAGCTGGGCTTTGCCTCTCCCATTGGGACAGGGTTTGCTTTTTTGCAAAGAGAAGGTTCCGCGGCTGGGCGGCTGCTCACAGCTTGGTGCACTGTGCTCGCTAAGCTTCGCTCCCAGGTGATCTGGATCAGGATACACCAGGAAGTTTGCTTTCGGTTGCCTCCGTCGGCGCGTGGGTGTGCAAACAGTGACCGATTTCACTGCCGGTTCAACTCCTTTAAATGGGGACTTTCACATTCGTCAGGCCTGAAAAAACAACGCCATCTTTTAAACAAAAAAATCCATTTCCCTTTCCATCGGCTGCCGCCAAAGGTATTTCTGTTTGAATGAGCAGGCCCTTCCCGCCCGCTGCCACCTCGCTGCACCCAGCAGGATCGTGCTGGTGGGTTTGCAAAAGCGTGGCTGTTCCACCGGTGAGGATGCTCCAGCCACGGAGCTCTCTCTGCTCCTTCCGGAAAAATGCGAGGTTTTTTTGAAAGCTGAGCCCTCCTCACCAGGCTGGTTTTGCTTTCTTAGGGGAGTTGCTTGAAACAGGGCAGAGGAGAGACGCACGGGCTCTCCACGGCACATCACTGATGCTCTTGGTGATGCAGACAGGTTCTCAGCTCGGATGGTCCCTTTCCAATGGGATCATCAGGGTTACAAATTTCTGAGGCGCTAAAAGGGCAAATTGGAAATGTCCCTGTGGAGCTTGCTGCCTGACACTCAAGTACTCACCCTGAAAGACTCAAAAATCCCAATTTCCTCTGTTGGGATTTCAGTTAGACAGCTTGGCTAAAATAAATGAGATTAGTCTAATCAGAGAGATGGATGGAGCTCATTAAAACAGTAGATTAAAAAAACCCACCCTGCCTATTACCAGTGCTCTTGAGGTCTTCTGCCTTTGTGGCAAGTTAAAGCCACCCAGGAATTGGATTCCCTTGCAGAAATCTGCAGGAAATGCATTAAAAATACATTCTGCTATTACAATTCTTCATGCCATCAGTCACTCGGGAAAGGAAATGAATGCAGGGAAAATGCATGTATATTTAAAGATATACAATTGCCTCCTCTGGGATCAGGATTTATAGGCTGGGAGCAGCGGGCTCTGCTCTGAACCAGAGAAGAGCAAACTGAAGTCACCTCAAAATCTGTGATGTTTTATTCTCTATAAATTCTATTTCCACACCCTCAGCTTCCTCACACGAAGCTGAGGATCAGAAAGGGGCAGAAGTCAGGTCTGTCAACGCACAGAGCTGAACAGGGAATACTGGGGGGAATTCCTGGACAGGATTTGAGCCAGACTGGTCCCATGATGAGCTTTACTGGTTTTATTTCTCATGACCAGTTGCTTTCCTGCCCACAAGCTGCCTGTCTGCCCCTTCCTGTGGCTTTAAGCGCAGCAACCACCCCCCAAAGCCTCTTTGTGTCCCTGCTCGTGGGTGCAGGAGCTCTTTGGGATGAACGCGCTGCGTGAATGTCCCTGCACGTGCCAACACGACCTTCACATCGCATGTACAGAGCCCCAGTGCTTTCTCCTAATGCTGAGTTTTCCATGCGGGAGCCACCAAGAGCTGCTCCAGTTGCCTCTCCAAGGCATCGCACATCGTATTTTTGGGAAGTTTCACACAATAATTGTCAGCTTGCACACAGCGAGCAGACAGCCCTGCTTCTGCCCAGGGCCAGCCTGCTGCGCCAAGACATGCGTTCTCGCTTGGAAAAATAGTTAAACTAAAAAAAAACACCCAACTAAAACCTCTGTCCCCCTGCCTGCAGAGCGCACAGAAAACAGTGTGAAGGCCTGTGCCGCTCAACTGCGCATCCCTCTGTTTGGGAGGAGGTGAATTCTCCCTGGGGCTGGGGGGACCTGGCAAACCCCCCACGCCGGATGGGTCCTGGGGTGCTTCGAGTGAGAGGAAAGAGCTGTCTGCGCTTTGGGGTGGATGCTTTTCCCAGCTCGTTTCTCAGCGGCGTCCACCCCCAAGCCAAGGGCCAGTCGCCATCCGATGTAGCTGCAGCGCTGCCCAAGTCAAGCAGTTTTCCCTTATTGCTTTTTGATTTTTACAGCTCCCGGGGGGCTTGAGGAAATCACTGACGGTTTAAGCAGATCACTCCAGCACAGCCTTGTGCTGCAGATGTACAGTGGGACAGACGTGGTTTCAGGCTATGGCTACCCCTGGGCACGCACTCATTTATGACAGCTAAACCGGTTACAACTCATTAGCTGAGCTGCATTAATTGCATTCGGAGCTTGCTGCAAGCCCAGAGCCGTGGTGGCAGCTCCAACCACCTTTAAACCCACCTGGGATGCTTTCTTTTCCAAGGGCAGCAGGCTGAGAGAGTCACAGTGTGTTCATGCAGCCCAGCTGTGAAGCTGTAACTAATTAGGGCTGGTAATGGGGTTGTCCGTCCCCACATGGCGTGCCAGCCCTGCGCCTTTCATCCTCTCCATTTCTCCAGCCACAACACCCAGACATCTTAAGCGTTTCGCAGACGTTGGAGGCCGGAGCTGTGCCAGGGCTGTTTTATGAGGGGCAGATCGAGGCCCCAGCTCCTGAAGGGGCTCGTGCCCGTCCCTCACACACGTGGGGCTGAGCACTGAGCTTGCGGGTGGGGGGGAATGGCGAGACCCCGAAACCCCCATCCCCTGCCCTGTGGCCCTGTGGTGCTCCAGAACCTCCCAGCTCCTGCCCTGGGCTGCGCAGGTGTCAGCTGGTGGGTGTTATGGGATGCTTAGGAAATAAATTAAAGGAAATAAATGCTGGGAGGGAGAAGAAAGGCAAATTGTTTATTGGTGCACAAGGAGCCTTCATCCCAGGCTGGGTGTTTTGCCCCACAGATTTAATGCCAATCCAGGCAGAGTCAAGGGGAGGTTATAGCAAACGGTAAGTGGCTGGAGGCAGCCCCTGCTTTCTGGGCCGGCCAGAGAGAAAAATGGACAAAACCAGGTCAATAAAGCAAGGAGGGCTACCCAGGAAGGGATCTGAGCCCTGTGCTGGGCACTGGGG